CACATACAAAAGGAAAGCCCACCAGAATTACAGCCGACGTAGCAGTGCAAACTATGAAAGCCAGAAGTGCCCAGAACAAGGTGTTTCCAGTTTGAAATGACCATAGATGCCAGCCCAGCGTACTGTACACAAGCCAAAATGCTTGGTGGAAGGGGAAAGAAAAATCTCCCATGACATGAATAGGCGGAAGGAATTCATGTCCACAAAACCAGCTCTTCAGAGAGTTCTGGAAGCAATACAGAGAGCTGAAGAAAAGAATGACTATACCCAAGGGGTTGCGGAAAGAGATTCAATGAAGGTTTAACTGTGGAAAAGTACAGCTATATCAAGAATATAAACAGAAATTAAAATGACAGGATTCAATAATCATCTTTCATTAATAATTGTAAATATGAACAGACTGAACTCCTGAGTCAAAAGACACAGACTAGGTGAATGGATTAAGGAACCAAACCCATCTTTTTGTTGTCTGCAAGAAACTCATCTCACTTCCAAGGACAGACACTATCTTAAAGTGAAAGGATGGAAAAAATCATACCAAGCAAGTGGTACTAAGAAGAAAGCAGGCATAGCAATTCTAATATCTGACAAATAGGCTTTAAACTAAAAGTAATCAGAAGAGACAAAGAGGGCCACTTCATTCTGATCAAAGGAACAATGAATCAAGAAGATATTACAATCATGAACATATATTCACCAATCTCTGGTGCACCCAACTTCATAAAAACAATACTACAGGACTTTAAGACCCATATTAATCCCAACTCATTAATAGTAGGGGACTTCAATACCCCACTGTCTCCATTAGATAGGTCAACAGGGTGGAGAGTTAACAGAGAGACATGTGAATTAAACAATAATATATATCAAATGGACTTAACACACATCTACCAAGTATTCCACCCAAGCACCAAAAGACATATTTTCTACTCAGCACCGATGGAACCTTCTCCAAAATTGACCATATACTGGGGCAGAAAACAAACTTCAACAAATACAAAAATATTGAAATAATTACATGCATTCTATCAGACTACAATGCAATAAAGCTTACAACCAACACTGGAAGATGCCCTAATCACCGCATGAACACATGGAGATTAAACAACACACTCCTAAATGATGAATGGGTCAAAAGAGAAATTAAGGAAGAAATAAAAGTATTCCTGGACCTAAATGAAAAGGACAATACAACATAACAAAACCTCTGGGACACACCGAAAGCTGTCCTTAGAGGGAAGTTTATAGCTCTAAGTGCCTACAT